CGGAATGGGCCTTATCGAATGCCGATGCAGATGGTCTAAGAGGATGCTTGGACGAATTCGAAATTATTTAAAGATTGTTCAATATAACTGATCCTTTGGCCACCTTTGTACTTACGCGAGGCGCAATGGTGACCGGCCAAAAATAAAAGAGTAATGAAAATAATGGCTGACTACGACAGAGTGTCATATCCCAGAGCATCCTTGAAAATACATTCGTAAAGCCACCTCGTGAAGTATGGGATTCAAAAATAGGGGATTAGGCACCTTTGGCGCCTACGCGTATGCATTTATTACACACTGACGTCGTTGGACAAATTAAGAAATAATTTTTAAGCAAAAAACATAACCGACTTCAATGATCATATAAAAATTTAGGATTGCCGATCATTTCTGTATGATCCCATAATCAGAACTAAACAAAATTAGTATAAAAAAGCTATCGAAAACGGCTCACGTGGTTCAATGTTAACCAGTGATTCACCGCCAAATGGAAATCACACTGGTTTTTGCGTAATTTCTAATAAAGGTAATATGACTATCAGAATTTAAAATGTAAAATACCTACTAACAATTAAATATATATGAATATGTACATATATATGTATGTGCATATGTAAGTACGAATACCTAAAGAACCAAACAGAGCAATAAAAACTTAAGTCATGGAAGGATTTCGAAAAGGAAGTGCTCTTCGGTAAAGGATAAGGGATAAGTAAATATGTATGCGTGATAGCATGTTTCTATGTTCATACATATTTATGCACGTACAGTACGTATTATCAAAGTAGCCTCCAGACAATACATGTATATGTACTTTTATCCTGCCCGTCAGCACAGCGAAAGAATGATTAAGAAGACAAGTAAGAAAATATTTCCATGAGCGCGCGCAAAAATTTTGAATGAAATCAATTTTATGAATGAGGTTTAGCTGAATTTGCATAAGATATGAAGAAAAGGATTGTATTTTGGCGGCAAAATATTTTTGATTGTTTGTTATGTAAGTTCCAGGAATTGGCAAAGGAATTGGAAAAAGCAGTAATGTTCGTTAATAATGGTGGTGAAGTGCATTAAATATATATGTGTATGGGGCGTTCCATACCAAAATGGACGGGGTTCACACTTCATGTGTTTGATTTGTTTAAAATTTTTAGGGTTGATGGATAAACATGAATAATAAAAAAATATGAAATTTGAGCTTGATTAATACATTTTTAGAAACTTTAGAGCACAAAAACAAAAACAAATAGATTTAATATTTTTTCCAATTATCTTGAGAACGGGGTGAAAAAAAATTAAAAAAAATCCCACATACACACATCAAAACTCTCTATGAAAAGAAATATTTTAAACATTTTTTTTTCGTGAAAAATTTTTCACATACAAATTTTTTGTTAAAAAAATTAGTTTTTGAAAATATGCCACCTTAAAAGAAATTGAAAAAAAATCCCGATGGTAGCTCTGTATATTGCGCAATATTTAAGTATCGCATTATGGGGTGCACTCTACAATAATTTGAGTTATGATTTTTTTTTTTTTACATCGAAGTTGCGTAAAAGGAGTAAATTACAAATTTACAAAGTTTTTTTTTAATTTTTTAGAACTTTTTTGAGTATACAGTTTTGTAGC